ATTTCAATAATATGTGGGTAAAATAAAAGAGAATTTTTTGTTGTAACAATTTCAATTACAAGTCATTTGTCTTATTAAAACTACATTAACAATAAATAACACGAACTTCTGTGCAGTAGAACTTTTTTTTCATTACTGAATACCTACCATAGATATATGTAGATAAAATACCTATCTACTTTGATTAGATGTTTAATGAAATCTGTATGTAAGATTTATCAATACGGCTTAATATATTTGATGAGAATGGTAAAACATATAGGAATAGGTATAGGTTTTTTGAGAAGCATTCTCAATTCAAATCATTCTCATTTGGTCAAACTACCCTTAGATTATTTAATAGGTATTAATAATTAATCTAAGAAACTACGTATTAAAATACACACAGGTGAGGAGTATGAACTTTTCTCATGCTTTTTGTTTTTTAAAACATTACAGCAATTTATGTAGATATGTAGGTACACCTATCTACCATGTGACGTGCGAACTGTCGTTTTAATTTTAACGCTCATAGTTTAAAAAAAACAAGGTTTCTATTAGGCATTCTGTTATTCCTGTATCAATTAGTTTATTTTTAAACTACAGAATTTATTGCTAGCCCTGGTATAGAAGAGATTTAAACTTAATAATTAGCAGAACCGACAACCGTTGGGGTAAACGAGTTCTTGAGTGGAGACCGCATCTCGGCAAAACGTAGTGTAGGACGTCCACAGGCCAGCTGGAGTGACGATTTGCGCAAGATGGCTGGCAGGAGCTGGATGCGAGAAGCCCAAAATCGATCTAAGTAGCGTGCAATGGGAGAGGCCTATGTCCAGCAGTGGACTGCGATAGGTTGATGATGAATAATTAGCAGTTATTATTATGCTTAATTAGTAGAATTAAATTATTCAGTTAAAATAAATTATACAGTTGTAGGAGTAGGTTTGTATATCGTTTAAGCTAAGCTCCCCGACTAAATATAATTATTTCAAAAAGTTACATTGGTGTATTTAAATTTATCAATACCTACTATTGTGAACAAAAAAATATTTTCTACATAAAGTACCTAGTAATGCTTATGGCTACCTTCCTGTTTTGAGTATACTTTCAATCATACTAAAAATGTTCGAGAATAATGTAGAAAGGTACGTCCTATATGTTACGCATATCGTGATATGCATGTTGCGTATAAATATTATTGCTATTAAATTCATGAAAGTGCATTCATAATTTATTTACGTCTTGTTTATAAGCAATACGCGAGCTGTCGGTGTGTTATCAAACTTATCAACTCATGAAACTTCACGAATATTCGCCACCAAACACCATTTTCCTACCTACCGACATAATGTAAATAAACAGCTACATTGTTTGTGTGTGAGAGAGAGACGAATATCGTACTGTATTGTTTCCTCCAACTTGAACTTTGTTTTGTTCTGGTAATTTCGGGAACATTCTACTCGACACTAGATGGCGCTGTACACAAGTATAAAAACCCCAAACGTTGACTAGCCGGCAACATATTTGAACACAAGCGTTCGAAGCGACAACAAGCTCTCTAAAACGTCAAAGTTTCTACTCCTTTACCAAGTTAAAAGTTAAAGTACTAGAAAAAAATGTCTCTGCTACCATTCGTTTTGGGCTACGATGCTCCTCGCCGTCATCACCATCACAGCCACTGGCCCAGTCGGCTCTTCGATCAGGACTTCGGATTGGCGCTCACACCCGACGACCTGCTGACAGCTGTGGCAACACCCCTCTTTTCAGAAGACTACTACAGGCCGTGGAGGCAGTTAGCAGCTGCATCGAGAGACGTTGGCTCGAGCATCAAGGCCGACAAGGATAAATTCCAAGTGAATGTAGACGTGAAGCATTTTGCGCCAGAGGAGATCTCTGTGAAGACCGCTGATGGTTATATTGTCATCGAAGGCAAACATGAAGAAAAGAAGGATGAGCATGGTTACATCAGCCGACAGTTCGTGCGACGCTACGCGCTTCCAGAGGGCACTGTTCCAGAGACGGTCGAGTCTCGGCTTTCATCAGACGGAGTGCTTACAATTACTGCCCCGAGGAAGGTTCCAGATGCCATCAAAGGTGAACGTACTGTACCCATTTCGCAGACAGGTCCTGTGCGCAAAGAGATCAAGGACCAGATGAATGGAGCCGAAAAGAAGTAAATAATCACTGGTTGATTATATTAGGTATATTTTTTTTTGTATTCCATAGAACAGTTTGAGACTGATTTGTGTTTAATATTAATTTTAAGTTCGAAATAAAGTATTTCTTTTTTTTAATGTAATTTTGTATTTTTTACTCCTTTTAATAGTACTGTTCAACTTATTTTCAATATAGAAAAAACACATTGTACCTAGTTCATGATCTATTCCTAAGGCATTTCTTAAAGCACCTAGGTAATGTGTTGTATTTTGCCTCTATGTACAATGGAAGCTATACATAATTTACAGTGCTGCTAATTTAATTAGGTACCTACAAGTACAAATATCATCAGAGTTATACAATTTTTATAACAGTAAACATTATCTGCTCACTTGAGGGTGCAACTCGGGTTCAACTCGACTCGGGTCATAAAAAATATCACAGCTCGTTTGTTATTGTGCTCAGTCGACTGTACCTAGATAGTTTGGTGTTTACACTACAAGTATCACAACACGAGTTCATACAAGTCCACACATACATTTTACAGCGTGCTGGGCATTACTTAGGTATAAAAAAATATCAAGTTGACATAGGCGTCGGCCTTAGGTACCTTTTTTTTCTTATATTTATTATTTTACTGCAAATTGTGCGTTAGATTGAGATTAGTAGTAGATTAGTATTAGATGTATTCCGTATTGATGTGTAGTGAATATCAGTAGATAATGTATGGTGTGGTAAATAAATAAATATTCCAATAGCTTCATATTTTCATATAATATGTATACCTATGTGGAGTAGGCATTGACTTCTTTGTCATTTGTAGGTAGGTATTTAGTTGAGATCTTTCAATAATAACGCATCTAAGGTTGAGACATGAAAGCGTTACAGTTTACAGTCTACAAACAACGACATTCATATTTTCTTGTATTGTCGTGTGCGTTATAACATACTATATATATATATATATATATATATATATATATTACAATGCCCATTGGATCGGGTTTACGGTACAGATTGGTGGTATGAGTTTAAATATCTAAATCAACTTAACTTAGGTGGACACTATAAGCGATGTTATACTAACTAGAATTTATGTTTTTGACAAAGAAAATAAAACGATTCAACAAAAAACGTCCAAATAAATGGGTTTAGAAGTGAATCAAAATATGCAGTAAGCGTAAAAGGTCACTTTTATGGTAATATAAAAAGAAGCGGACGTTATCTAATAAAACATTGTATCAAAGATATGCAAAAAGACTAAAATCTATTATAAAGTTAACTCAAAAAGCACAGAACATACATGTCATTAAAACTTTAGATAACATGTCTAGAACAACATGGATACGATACCTGTGCCTAAAAACTAGTTTAATTTTTTTTTGTCTCTCTTTCTGTTTGTTCCGGGTAACCTTGAAAATATTTTACTACCAGGTAGCTGGATTTTATATAGACTTTCATCTTTGTTTTAAAAAACAAAGATAAAAGAAAACGAAAGAAAAGCATTCGTCTAAGATACCCGAATAAAGATTATTCCCTTTATTTCATTAAATACACATATAAATTTCAGATATCGGTGGTTAGGACTCCAGAGACAGAAACCTCCTCACAATACGTGCCGTATCGAGAACTGCTTTCTGCATCAGGCCCTTAATCCAACTGCCTACCCGAGCCTCTGAAGATGTTGATCGAGGCTCTCAGCAACTAATCCATGGGCCGATATGACTATTGGTACAATGATTGTCGAATCAACATCCCACATGTCGACAATCTCGTGGGCCAAATCCAAATACTTTACTTGTTTATCTTTTTCAGCTTTCAAGAGATTGGCGTCATGTGGAATGGTAATGTCAACAATCATTGCTGCGCGCTCTAATCGGTCTAATATCAGGTTTATTGGCAACAATAGTCCTCTCAGTGATAATAGGGCGATCCCAGTACAACTTTCTCTGACCATTTTCAAGAACTGGGTTGGGCACATTCTTGTAGTACAGTAACTGGGTGGATGATTGATGAATGGACTATTCTGGCCACTTGGTTATATGTATATATTATATATTGTTATATGTATATTTAAGTGCTCGCCGTTTGCAGGACTAAAACAACCGGAAATTATATGTCTGAGCTTTCACTGGGACCATGACATGTCTGACAAATGTCTATTGTGCTATCCTTCAGGATATAATTTCGATAATTATTCGTCATAACAACTTTATCAGTAATTGCAAAGACAAAACCTTCAGTTTCTCCGAAGAGGTCACCGAATCGTAGCCAGAATACTGACGCCAGTTGGCCTACCTTAGGCTCCAAAAAGGCCCGATGTAAATGGCCATTCAGCTCTTTGTCCTTCCATACCGCCTTACAATCGTATCGACGTAATGTTGAGTACTGCAAATTTGCGCCAGTTCTCTTTACCTAGACGTGGGAGTCTGTTATCAACTACTACTACATCCCCATGCATATCCACATTAACAGAAAGGAAGTAATTCCTGAGGTTACATATCTCACGATTATGGAGGCTCCTGGAATGCTAGATTAAATACCAGCGGGCGGAGTCGCAGGCAAAAGTTAGTCTTTAATAAACTTAATATACATAAGCATACACAAGTCAGAGAGAGAGCGCTACCCTTCCCTGTCTTTCTCTGTAAGCGTATGTCATACTAGTGTTACAAAAGTAGGTATTGGTTGATGAGAGAAATGTGTATGTACCTTACAAACGTCAGTTCATAAATTTCCATACCATAGACACCGTTGAAACAGGACAGGTGACAGTTTATGTCATCTGTCAAAATCAACAGTGTGTTTTATAACGATGGCGTCATTCATTAAAAGATGAAAATAACAGACAAAATGTAGTATTCAGGATGTTAAAAAGGTTCTTGGGACACCAGTTATATGTACCAGTTGGAAAAAATAGTGTACGGTTCCTAAGATCTAATAGGCCAACGGTGAAAATCAGTGAAGAAAGATTTCAAATTATGATAGATCTCAAAGAATACACTTTGGATGAAATATCTGTGAAAGCACATCCCGAGTATTTGGTTGTTGAAGGTAAAACCCTCACCTGTTACTGCCCTCGTGGCCTCTCTTATCTCAAGACAGGTATACGGGTACGGGATCCCCGCCTTCAAGCGGCATTGAGTACTACTGTCCCAATCGTGCTTCGGCACTTCGGCACACAACGGGCGGGTTCGACCTAAAGTATACAACCACCTCACGGAAAACCTGTTTTATACAATTCTATTGTTGCTAGAAAAGCAAAGAAAAAATTGCTAGTGTGTGATCCCACTGGCGGTCAGACCCCCCTCTCCCTAATTTTGAGAGGGGAGGGTCTAAGACCGGTTACGTACTTGAGTTGCAGATGTGTATGGGCGGTATTAGTCCCTTACTATCACTGACATGTCTGTGCGTTTGTCCCCTTTATTTAAAAAATCTTGTTTCGCTCGTTTCGTTTCTGAGTCTTGCCGTTGTCGTTTTATCCATTGTCTTTACCCCAATTGCAAAGGTGCAATCAATTGCAATAAATTTGAAATAAAATAATGTTTGCTTTTTCTTTTATTTAAAGGTAAGCAGGAGAAAGACACAGAAAGCGGCTTAATGATAAGGCAGTTCACTAGGAAATTCAGGCTACCAAAAGGTTGCAACCCAAAGAAAGTCGAATCACTATTTTCTCCTGATGGGGTTTTGACGATTGTTGCATTTCGGGCGGGCATCGACTTGGACACGTGTGATATAGTTGAAGTTCCTATTAATAATGAGAGTCAATTGAGAGGACGAAAACCAAAGGACACGAAAATATACCCACCCTATTGTGGAACATATAATAAAGTCGTTCCAAAGGAATCTAAAACAGAGGACAAAACAAAAAAATAAATGTTTTTGTTTTTATGTGTTGCAATATGTTTTATAGTCTTTAATAAAAAAAATACATAATATTCATATATTTATTAAAGTAAATTAGATTTTCTTAGCAGAGAAGGCGAAGCACTACTGCCAAGCGTAATCTACAAGAAATTGCTTTAAATGAGGCCGCCCAATTGCTTCGATGTTCTCGTAATGTTGTCTGACCTGAAATGTTATTATAGAAAAAAACCGAATTAGGTACGATTACTAAAAATAATGATAGACCTTTGAAGTATTGAGTTTTTAATTTCGTATGTACGGACGTAGGGTCTTAGCCTCAGCGATTAAACACTGTCAACTTATTCTTACCGGCCACAGATAAATAATATTTTTATACTTTTACAATAATGTGACTGTTACTTGGTTTAGTCCAAAATATTATGTTCCAACGGTTTGCGGTTATTCCTTCTAGAGTAAGGCGAAATTTTTAAGAGGGATTACATTATACATGATTGTCTATAGAATAGCAATAGTCATTGTTGCGACTTTTACAAACGGTGAAACAAAACTGCAGTGGTTAAAGCGGTCGCCACGCCGCTTCCTATTACGACGAGTGTTGTGGGTTCAAACCCCACATGGAACAACACTTTGTGTGATCCACAAATTGTTGTTCTGAGTCTGGGTGTACTTTGTGTCCGTTTCATGTATGTTTGTAAAGTCCCCCGCGACACAGGATTTATTCCTAGTGCGGGAGTTGTCTTTAAAAAAAAAAAAAAAAAAAAAAAAAATATGACAGCGCCATTTAACAAAGACAAACCGAACTACGGAGTAACGATGAGGAATCCCGAGGCCCTGCATCCACTTGCGATCGAGGCGGGCCGAAACCTTAGCGAGACCTTAGCCTTGACTCAAGGCAAAGACGTAACTTTTTCTGGATCATCGGCCACCGGCATGCCCATTGGCAGCGACGGCAATGAGCGCGCCGACCAACTGGCAAAAGAGGCGGCACTCTCGAGTCGAAGGAAGTTCAACTACGACCTGTGCCCGGTTTCATTCGTCAAGCGACAGATATGCAGCGACTCCCTCAGCGAATGGAACCGGAGATAACAGTGTCCACACAGCCTCTGCCCAGACGAGACTGACGCGAGGCATGCTTACCTCTTGGTGCAGCAGATCCGATTCCAAGGCGTTGTTACGCAGATGTCGACGGGACATGGGGTTCTCCCGATACTTGCATCGTTTCAAGTGTCGGGACAGGCTCCTTACGGCAGGTAGCTGAGCAACGCCTTGGGGTACAGCTGGTGATAGAAGAGGCACACAAACTACTAAAGCAAAAGGAAGTGAGGCCGCAATTTTCGGAATTTGCTATAAAAGTTTGCATGTTTAAAATGGACAGAAATAAATAAATAAGAAATAATAAATAAAATAGAGAAAAACAAAGGCTCTTGTAATGCAAGAGGTAGCCGGTAATAAAAAAAAACTACGGAGTAACTGCTAACCCTGTATCGCTATATTAACAATTCTCTCGCCGATCAGCATATATACAACTTCCCAACATCAACAGTTGCGCCGCGGCCCGCCAGGCATGATCACCTCTCCCCCTTTGTGTTGGAGGGACATGACACCCGTTCCTCAACAGTCACGTTATTGCTGAATATGTACGTACACACAGTCACGCCTATTAGAGTTAGCCGACTGTAATTATAATTTCACCCAATAGGGAGCAATCCTTTTGCCGACAATCGGGCACGTTAGGTTTTAGGTGCGAAAATTGGGAGCAATATGAAAGGAAGAGTTGGTAACAAAATCGCATATCTATATTTGAAATGGCTATAGCCTGGAATTATGGGCCCTCCGACCTTCTAAACATGCACATATTTTTATAAACTAAGACTGATCTTGACTCATGATGCAATGCTAGGAGTTTACCAGAGAATTTATTCCGCGTGGGTACATTTAAATTTAGACTGTGCAATCTACGTATTTGTAGTGTTACTAGTTATTTTTAGTAACTTATATTAGACATTACGTCATAACATATTATGTTTGTTCTTTGCTCTTATAGGGTTGTAGAGTGATTTTAAATAGCGTGTGACCTACCTCAATAAATAGGCAAATTTTATACGGGCATTAATAAAATATAAAGGCTGAAAAATTTAATTCATTATTATTTTTCCATTTTAGTATTTGATTTGAGGTTACGGCCTCAAAGTTATTTTTATTTTATTAGTTAGTAATAAAACGACAATAATAAAACATTTTCGATTATAAATATATTATTATGATATATTGAAGTAAGTTTTTCGTCTGATTAACTCTCAATAGAACGTTGTAAAACGCTTATACCGATTAAAAAAATAATTAGAGGCTCTCAATTCGCTAAAAAATTACTTCTAAACTCCGTTATTTATGAATCTTTATGATATATATTTTTAAGTTTTTATAGGCATATAATTTTGTGCAGAACGGGTACCGAGGTATTGGAGTTCGATTCTTGATGCCTAAGTGCAAATGCATTGAGCATGAATAGGTCTATTAGAATTTACTTAGATTGAATGTATACAAATAAGTTATAAAATATATATTGTATAGTATGTATTTACTTTATACATATAAATTTATATGTGCATCCGTGTAACTTCAAGTTATGCTTAATAAGTTAAGTAATTTTTAAAAACTACTAGACTTACTAGATACGTTTCTTTCAAGAAAGAAGGTGAAACTTCAAACAAAACTAACAAGGTTGCAGGTTTGTTTTCAGTTCGTAGTTACGCTAACGCACGATAACAGCTGACATCATTATGTATATTCAACGCATCGCGAACTTTCTCGTTCACTATTCTAAATACGACTGAAACTGTTGCCAGGAGTGACTCACGCGCATATATACGGACGAAACGACCGCACACTCCTACAGACATAAAGATACCGCTCTCAAGTGCACACGAAACATTCAAACTCTCCAATACTTTTTAATCGTAAAAAATGTCTCTTTTACCATATTTTTTCGATTACGATCATCCCCGATGGCCAAGAAGACTCCTCGATCAGAATTTCGGACTGACAATCACACCAGACGATTTGATGGCAGCTCCCGTCAGCCCTCTAATTTCTCGTATCAAACCCTGGTGGCCAAGAGACGCAGGATCAACCATCAAAGCTGATAAGGACAAATGGCAAATCAATGTTGACGTCCAGCATTTTGCACCGGATGAAATCACCGTCAAGATTACTGATGGGTTCATCGTTGTTGAAGGAAAGCATGAAGAAAAGCAGGATGAACATGGTTTTGTGTCCAGACAGTTTGTTAGAAGATTCAAGCTTCCTGAATATAGTAATCCTGATGCTGTAGAATCTAAGTTGTCTTCGGATGGCGTTTTGACTGTTGTAGCTCCAAGGAAAGCTGAGGAGGTGAAGGGAGAGAGATCTGTTCCCATTACTCACACAGGACCCGTGAGGCAGGTAGCTGTCGATGAACCAAAATAGACATCCAAGACTACAGTACAGTGACGAAGAATACAGTGAATTAAAATTATTTGACGTTCAATTAAAAAATTGTGCTATGAGAAGATGAATTGAATATTTTTTTATTAAGTTTGACTTGGTTTTTAGTTAATACGTGTTATAATTTGAGACTGGTATTTTTTTAATTAAAATATTAATTATTTTGTATTTGTAATAAACGTTTTTAAAAAGCATAAATTCTTATTTATTTTTATGCAACAATCAAGGCCGTCTTAGGCCACGCCGGGACCCCGGGCACGTAAGAATTTGGGGCCCTGTTGGACAGTAAAACAAAATAAATAAATAGATATAAAGATACTTACAGGTATAACAGAAATAAATATAGGTATTAGTTAGATAAGCAGGCTTGAATTGATGGTTTTAATCGGTGACGATTACGACAATGATTTCTTTTGAGATATCTGTTGGGCAAAATCTTCTGTTATATCTTAGTCTGTCAAAGCCTATCACTTTCAATTTTTACTTGAGGATGTCAAAATTGAAAACTAATAATTGTTTTTAAAATTGGTAAAATGAACTTAAAACACGGACTACTTAACATAATTCAAATGCTTTTTCTAAATTATTATGTTTTACAAATTCCTTGTTAACTAGAACTGGAACTAGAAAAACTATCGACTCATTTCCTTGCAAGCCACATCTTCAAGCTGTTTGCCCGTGACGCTCAGTCAAATTTATTAATCACTCAATAATTATATTATTATTTTGTAACTTTAATAAAAAATAGTATTTTTACACTTCATACAATTTTACACTAAACATGTTTCATCTTTCTAAATTTAGAAAGAACACTTAATAATTTAACGATAAGGAATGTAACAAAATCAATTAAATTTAGATCAAAACTATATTAAAAACATATTTACGTACACGCACATAACACGTTCTGTAAAAATTTGCTATTACATATAATAGTTTTCATTTTATAAAAACAGTATCTAATAGTAACAAGTCTACATCTTTTCGAATATTGATAAAAATTATATTCTAAACCATACCTTTTTGTAAAAAATAATCAAAATTATAATCCGTGACACATATGATCACATTTCTTTGCCACCAATGTCTCAAACAAGCTTTCGTTCAAAATACGTTGCAACACCCAAAACGCTAGACATTTGACAAAATCACGGTGAACGGTGATTTATCATTCGATTTTGCGTACGTAGGTTAGGGTTGCCAGGTAGGTAGGTTAGACGCTATTTAACAGTAAATCTAGAATTTGTTTAATGATTATGTAGGGAGTGGTAGCTATATTATACAAGAATATAAAATAAAATATTTACTAGAATTACTGTCCACTGATTACTAGAAAATAGTGTCTTAATGACTGTACTTGTAATAGGTTACTATTATAGGTTATATATTCATTTCATTTAAAAGAAATCTTTGTGTGTGACTTTTTCCTGGAAAATGTTGCAAACTAGGCGACACCTAACTCCTATAACTTATTTGGTGGCAACTAATCACAGCTCCTTAATGTGATATTTTGATATTAATTTAAT